CCTGCAAATTTCAGGAGTTAGAAATGAATATAGGACCTAAATTTTAATTATGATCCAAAGATTCTGTATAAAAAGACTGCCTTACATAAGCTGCTTTTTCTGAGGTATTTTTAAAAGGATTAACAATTAAGCAGTTAAACTTCAAAAGAAGTTCAAGGATTGTTCTTTAAATGTTTGGTTTATGTTTACTTGGAATACAGATCAGAATATTGCCTAAGGAAAATAAGCTGTTTTTCAGCTATACATAAATACCTTTAGAGGTAAGTTTCAAAGTCTTTTAAATTTTTTTTCAATTTGTTTCTGCTCAAAACCGGATCACAGCTGTCCACTAAAAAAAGGAAGGAGAACCTGGGGTTTATATAAGGACAGCTACTGCTACTAATCACCAGGTCTATCAACACACAGAAATCCACCTCCTTAAAGAAAGAAAATCAATAGTTATAGAACAGCCAGCATTTCAAGTACATGGTGAGTGTTATAACTATACTCTATTTTAAAATTCCTAAGCTTTATACCTGTGACCAACAGGGAAAAACTAAGCATTTATAATGGGGTGTTCTGTGGAGAAAAATTTCTGCTTACATCATTTCACTCCAATAGATTTGCCGGGACAATTACTCTGGCTCAAACTGAAACAGCCCAATTATTGGAGAAACTGCCTCAGGCTTTCAGAGCCTGCTGGGCTTTAAAAATCCAGGATGCCGTAGTATTCGCATTCTTAAAAAGACAGCCAGAAAAGACAGTAAACAAATGTTAAAAAGCTATTCCTCAACACTACTGCAAAGTGATTCTATTCCTTATATTAATTTAGGAGACATAATTAAACATTGTCAATTTTTCAATATTGCTAAATGGCCATTGTGCATAAAGCAAGACAATTAGGACATAGAGTGTGTATTATAAAAAAGTCAGATAAAAGGAATTTATATATATAGCAATGTATAGATCCCATTTTTAATTTTAAAATAGTCTAGGCATTCCTGAGAAAAATAAAAATCAACAGGTGTAGAAGCAGCCTTATTTTACGTTAATGAACTGTTGTATTATACTACTCCACCAGGTAACTTCATTACCTGCTTCCCTTGTGCCTTTTAAACTTCTACGCTAGCCCTGGAGGACAAGATCGTACTACAGTGTACAAATACACTGTGCTAAAGTCACAGTAGTCAAAGCACATAGGTCAGCCCAGGGGACATTCTTTACTACTAGCCTTCACCTCTGGTATCAGGGGCCTTTAAACGGGCTGAGTCAGATGGGTGGGGTGAAGTCTCCTTTCTCCCTTGTCACAACCTGTGAAGACATTCTCAGGTATAACCAGACGTCTATGGGAAATTCAACAGAATGGAAGAAATAAAAGTAGTTATTTTTAAAATTCACCTATTCATCTATTCAACTATTCTTCTAATTACTAAAAAAAGACTACAAAATGATGGTGAAGTTGTTAGTCATTGGGAATGGAAGTCTGAACTACTTCTGATACAGGCACAAGGAAGAAAAATTAAAACAACATGGCAAGTGTTAAGCTAGACTGAGTATGGTTCAGAAAGGGTGACCAGACACCTGCACAGTTTAAGGAAGAGACAGCTGACGCAGCCCTACGGCCAATCAATGAAACACACTGGTGATATTTTAAAGAAGATACTGGAAAGAAGCAAAATTGTCAGTATTTAGTTCACAAAGGCCCCCCCCCCACAAAATTAAAAGGTTTAAATGAGCGGGCGTTGTAGCTCAGTGGCAGAGCTCTTGCCTTGCACGCACAAGTCCCTGGGTTTAGTACCACTCCCCTCCCCCCAAATAGGTTTACAAAGGCCCATGACACAATGGTATAAATGGAGAACAGAGTTTGTTTGACAGAGGCCCTGATATAGACAGTAGCAATCTCACAAATCATGTGGGAAAAATTAACATATATATGAAAATGCTTCTAGAAAAAATATATCAATTTCCTTAGTCATCCTCTAGCACAGATTCCTTACAGACTTTTTTATAAATGCTCGCAGGCATGTTTGTGGTTTGTGTCTGCACATTAAAGTGCATAATTCTACATGTAGATGTACCTACCTGGATCTGCCTGCACCATAAACACACCAAATTCTCTCTTCAAAAAATTACACATTGCTGAAGGAGATGCAATATTAAAAACTCAACAATTCTAAGTGATAGCAAAGATATTCATGATTTTTATTTTAAGGTACAGAAACCAACAGAATTTATAGCCTAAATAAATAATGGCTAAATTTCTTTATCATAAAAATGACAGATTTCTGACTCACTGCATACAACTCACTTTCTTAGTTTTTGAATGAGCTGAAATCTGCCGAGGGCTAGAATTGTTTTTGGGTATCTAGCTCTAGATTCTGGCCTACTTTCTTCCTCATTTTCCACTGAGAAGCGATTCACTGCTTCATGCTTTTGCCTCCCCCGCTTTGTCCATGCCGTCGCAGGCAGCTCTAACGTGTTTGGCAACGGTGCCGGTGAGAATTATGTAAGCATAAATGCCCCTTGGGAAGCTCCGAGATATGTTCAGGGCATTCCCCACAGGTCCTCTTCCTGTTTCCTAAAGTACACTGTGGACGTAAATGAGTGCCTGTTATAAGAATGAGGGTATTTACAGTTATGTAAAAATTATCCTTTTCAGGATAGACAAATAATCTCTGTAACATAAAGTCATTAGTTCCAGATAGCAGATTTCACCATTTTAACTATAAAAGTTGTGCTTTCATTACAGTTTGAGAAACAGGCTGTATCATTTATCCGCCTTTTTCACTCAGTGGAGAATTATACGAAAATGGGATAATATGGGACTAATATGGGACTCAGGGAAAATATCCCCAAAATAAGCTGCTTTTTTCTTTTTCTTTCTTTTTTTTTTTTTTCATTCTGAACAATTTATGTACAGGAAATCAACAGCCTTAAATACAGGATCAGGATTAAGGTCTCTTTAACCTGTCTCACACCCCACTCTCCAGCTGTACAGGCAGAACTTTCTGCAAAATTCCCAAACTTTCTGAGGACCTGGGCCTGCCTCCAGACCTGCCAAAGAAGAAGCGTGTGTGTCCTCCCTCAGCGTTCGCTACCGAGACTCACATTTGAGGAGGACAGGCAGAGGTCTGTCATCAGAAGCAGCGCTGCGCAGACCTATCCGGTGCCACTGGCCTCTATTTCAGGCCCCGCAGGACCACTTACAATCTGTTGCTTGTCCCACAGGGCCTACCACAGACTGCCTCAGGTCACAGGTGCTCCCCAAAACCCCTTCGCCCATCCCTACAGGAAAACAGTGTATGTTTCTGAATTCATTTTGGACTAGTGGGTAATCATATTCCTCTGATCTGATTCCTTTGCTGTGATTTTTCTCCTTTTGCAGATCACTTTGTATGCCTCTTCTCCCACTTAGCTTGTATTTTCCCAGTTCATTCCAGCAATTTTTTAGAGAGTAGAGAAAAAGTTTCCCCTTACCCCTTTCCAACATCACTTTTCACAAATGTTAATTGTGGAAGGATATAACATATACGGTCTCAGTTGTTGTCACTTGTATTTTTGAATGTACACTGTAGGTAATCCCACATAGCACACATCTTTCCTCAGTTATACCTTTATTCATATGTGAGCTTATATATTTCTATGAAGTAATGACTTGAATTCAGAAAAGAAATGAAATCAAAAGAAAATGAAAGATTACATAAATGTCACTGCCTTGCTGCAGATTTGACGTGTTCTTACTGAACTTAGCTCTGTGAATATACAGACTGGAATTCTACTGCAAAAGAAATACACCTGTTTGTGAAGTAGTGCTCCTGGCATGAGGCTCTTGACATAGAGGAGGCTCGAAGATATGTGAAAAAGTCCTGGTAATCATACATTAACACACACAGTGCCCTCATTTTTCCTTCCTAGTGAACCTGAGAGCTTCATGTAAAAGTTCGCACTGTTCTTTCTTTCCCCCATACTTGTCAAAAAAAACAACTTAGTTGCCTCACACATACAGTAAAAAATCAGAGCACGTCAGTTACAATCCAAACTGGCTCTTCTGATCTGCGTGACAGATTACATTACTGAAAAAAGTAAGCACGGATTAAAACTACTAGAAATGGAACCCTTAAAATTATTTTGTTAATAGACTTGAATTTCTGTTAGTTTATGCTTTATCTTCTAGATTATCATTGGAAATCATGACACAAGTTTTTGTCTTTCTCAGGTAACTTGACTTTTTCTGACGCTTTAAGTTTTTGGCTTTTTTTTATAGAATAAGTAACATGGCTGTTTGAGGAAAATTAGAAAACTACAAAGAACAAAATCTCACCATTCAGTAATGGGATTTTCTCAAAATGACATTTTTTTTTACTGATAGAATTTTTTTGAATGTTTGGAAAGTTTAAAATATATAGCAAATTATAAGGAAAAGTATGAAATTACTCAAAATTCCATTATTCAATGATAACCTATTTTACTTTTATTTCTGTATGTATTATTTTATATAACTAAAGTAGGATAACATTAATTTATATTATTCTTAAATTTACTTAAATTTATTGATAAGTAATTTCCTATATCAATTCTTTTTCAGATATGAATTTCAATATCTGCATTCTTTTCCTTCTGCTTCTGAAGTCATTTAACCTTTCCTTACTTATATATTTAAGAAAACAAGGCAGCAGAATATTCCTGTCTAAGCACACACAAAACTTTTTAATTGCCCTGATAAGTGCTAATGACTTTTGGGTATCTCTGTGTACTGCCTGCTCCATTGTTGTTGAGAAAGAACAAGGGACAGATTGAGAGACAGAGAAGAGCCAGGAATATTCAGGCATGTGAAACGGTCTCTCTCATTTAGATAAAAATTGACGGTGTAGTACATCTTTCTTACGTGTAGTTTTCTGCAATATTACGGTAATAAGCAACATTTTATTAAAGCTAATAGAATAAGAGCAATAATGAAACAAGTCAACACGTTTACACTTTATTTTCCCTCATAAAGGAATAAAAATGCCAGAATTTCATACCTGGGGATATGATGTAGAAGAAGTCTTTAAATTCATCCATCCAAACTTCTGCCAGTCTGCGGTTGTTCTTGTTGATGACATGGCCAGTGCCGCCAGGGAAAGTGTACGGGGTGGCCTTCCGAAAAACATGACCAACGTGGGAGCAAGTCACAATCTCCAAAGAGCCTCCACACTGCCAAATCTGGGGAAAAGCACAACTGTTATACAACAACTCCTACAAGTGATTCAATAATGTGAGAAAAACTGAAGCTTAGGCCAGTACTTCAGATCTTATGTTTCAAAAGAATTTTGCAGAAGACACAAAATACAGAACTAGTACGTGTCTATTTCACAAAGGATCCTAATTTGTAATATCTCAATACATTTACACACCTGTAGCATTGGATCATGACAGTAAAATATAATTGCATTCATGCCATTTTATTAGACAATCTAATTCCCAGTTTCTGGTGCTTAACTCAATCACTATTTAGCAGTTACTTGGTATGCGCAATCTGTCACATGAATGTATTTGTACTATTTATTTATTTATTTAGGTAGGTAGGTAGGTAGGTAGGTACCGGTCATTGAACTGGGGACCTTGCACTTGCCAGGCAGGCACTTGTGCCACTGAGCTATAGTCCCGGCCTCACATTTTAAAATGTAATATAAAAAACTTTAGTTTGTAGTTTTCTGCAATATTACGGTAATAAGCAACATTTTATTAAAGCTAATAGAATAAGAGCAATAATGATTAATTTGAAGAAAAATCATTCCATTTTACTCCATTCCTCTGGAATTTTAAATGACCATTCCCTCTGTATTTTAGATTTTTGGATATATTGTTCTTACTGAAATATGCTGGGATGCCATTATATCAGCGAAATATCTATACAGTCTTTAAAATCCACCTTCAAGATCATTTTGTTTTTTGCCAAGCTTGATGGAACATGTTTCTAATTCCAGCACTTGAGAGGCTGAGGCAGGAGAACTACCACAAGTTCAAGGCCAGCCTGGGATACGTAGTAAGTCGGCAGACACCCTGAGCCACATAATAAGACGTGTCTCAAACCAGATCAGAAAATTATTCCTTTCTTGTAGCATGCTCTAAAGGGAGATTTACTGTTGTGTGTTTTTTGTACTTTAAACAGTTTTACTGAAGAACTGATCACACTGTTTTATAATAACCAGTTGTTTACTTCACTAGCTCTCCTTTAATGTCATATTACCTGACAGCCTACGATGTACTGTACAGTTGAGACTAAGCACTATCTAAATTATCCACAGAATATTTATAAAATATCACTGTATGGACTACATCAGTAGTATGCAGTCTTCCATGGGTATGTGTACATACACACACAGTTTGCCTTTAACATGCATAAGTTATGGGTCTGTGGATTGAACCATGAATCAAAAGTATTGGAAAAACAGATTCTATGTGTACTGAACATGCATAGATATTTCTGCCCTTGTTCCTTAAAATTATAGTTTAACAAGTATTACACAGAATTTATATTATCTATGATAATATACATTATTTAAAGTACACAGAAGGACATGTAAAGGCTGTATGTAATTATATCAATTTATGTAACTGACCTGAACACATATATGAGGGACCCTGGAATGAATCTCCCCATGAATACTGAGGGAATGACTATATATACGCATGTGTATATACCCATATATATGCATACATATACTCTATATACAAAAACACACTACTACACTGCTACACATAGAATTAAGGTTACACATAACAAACATATATGCTACACATAACAAACATATATGTTTGTTACATATATGCTACAAGTCTTCTAATAAACAAAGGCAATTGTCATTGCTATATGAAAATTTTTGAAACGTTTGAAAGCTCTGTATTTTAAAACATGGCAACAAATTCCAAAGTATCAGAGACTCCCTTTACCCTTACTAAGATTCCTCCAACAGTAATAACTTACACATCAGTGGTGTAATATCACACCAAGAAACTGATATTGGCATAATTTTATTAATTTGACTACAGATGAAATCTCATATATATAGATCGAGTGGTGGCTGACAACAAAAATATATTCATCAATGCTCAACGGACTAAGAATTCTACCATCAAGTCATCAGCATAATCAGTTTATATTAATGGTGTTTTTTCTTGGCCATAAATAGTCATATTCTTGCCGTCTCTTTCCAACAGAAACAGCTCTGGTCTCTTTTTTCCTCCTCCTCCTCTTCCTCATCCCCGTCCTCCTTTTCCTCCTTCCCCTCCTCCCCTCCCCCTCCCCCTTCCCCTCCTCCTACTCCTCCTTCTCCTTCTCCTCCTTAATTTAAGAAAACCAGTTTTCTTATATTGGGGTCCCAACTTTATGGCCTCATTTAATTCTCAGTAGCTCCTTACAAGCCTCTCTCAATCACTTTGCTGTGGCTGCCACTCAAAACTGTACATCCTCAAAGTAAAGACAGGAAGGGTTATGTTGGCTCATGGTGTTCAGAAGATTTGGTACACTGGTGCGTGGATCCAAGGCAGGCCTTGGTAGAAGGCCTGGGTGGAGGAAAGTTGCTCATCCAAAGGCACCGAGCAAGCAGAGCACCTGTGGAGAGTCCAGGACAGGGCTACACCCTTCCATGTCTCCCCCCAGTAACCAGACTCTCCTGGCCGGGCCCCACCTCACACCAGCACACTCAGCTGCTGAACTCGGTGAATGAAGCCACTGATGACTGTGGCACCCCACCATCCACAGACTTTCCATACATCCTGCCGTTGAGCACAGGGGAGGACTGGGGGACATTCTAGGCCTAAGTCATAGCAAAGCCCAGTATCCAAATACCGCTCTAAGGGGTGTTACAGCCCCAGACACGGATTTTGAGAGAACATGATTCAGTCCATAGCACGACCTCACTGTCTCTAGTGCCACCCCCCTGAGCTAATCCACACCTCTCGTGTCTCAGTGAGAGAGGTACTTAACGGTCCTGTGGTTTTCCTGCTGTGCTAGTATATTTTTCCCCCTAAGAAATCAGGGTGGTTTTGCACAGCATAAATTTCATTTTACGTCTACGCTCAAATTGTTCAGTGGTTTCTCACTGCAATGTGAATGTGAATGAAATCCTTCAGTAGGCTCTCCAAGGCCCCACATGATTCTCTCGCTCTGTAAATATGGCGATATTGGCACTCTGTTATTTCCTAGCGTAACATACTTGTTTTACACACCAAGTCCTCAACACCTGCTTTCCCCACAGCTGCATGACAGTTCTGGTACGGATGGCCGTGTCTCATGCTTTGGCATCTCAGCCAAACTTCACTTTATCAGAGAAATCTTCCTTAATGGCCATATTTAAAGTAGACCCAGCCACTGATTTTTGCCTAATAGAAGCCTGTTTAGTTCACTCATTATTTATCAGAATCTGTAACTTATTTATTCGTATTCCTGAGTAGTTTATTTCTTCTACTTGAGTGCAGACGCTAAAAGAGGAGCAGAGATGTCGAGTCGTTTTCTGTGCTGCTGGAACGAGGCCGAATGTCCTTAGTGAATACCACCATGTGTTGTGATGAACAGTTAAAATTAGCTAACAAGGTTAACAAGGAAAGGGCATCCCTGGCTTAAGATTTAAACAGCTATATTTTGGAATGATATTAAACTATATTTTTGTTAGGAATATGTCTAATATCAAAGCAGGCACAGAAACCCAGTCAGGTGCTGTGCACGCTGCTCCACGCAGCGTGGGAACTGGAAATGCTCCGCGGAGGCCCTAGCACAGCAAACAGCAATCAGAACTGGTTTGACATCAGGGTACGATGTGATTCCACCTTAACTTTTAACGCGCTCCAAAGGTGAGTGTTCAATCTCGCACTAATCTCTTTCTTAAGAACACGGTGTAGTAAAGCACTCAAGCATTCATACTGTGACCAGGCCTCCCAAAAGAAAGGGATTCCAAAATTCAGAAGAAAAAACACATTACGTGGTGTACATGCAGAAACGTAAGGTTTTCTGTTATTGTGAAGAATGCAGTTAGTGGTAAGAAGGCTTTTTCTCCACTTGTATGAATTAGGCACCGAGGAAAGCTTTTCTCCTCTTTCGTAAGTCAGAAAGGGAGCTGATGCATGCAGGTCAGGCTTGGCAGCTGCTAAACAGATATCATGGGCTAATCCCAGCGCTGCCTTCCGAAGGGAGCAGAACGTGTTCAGAACGGTCGTGGCAGAGCTTCAAGTGTGAAAATAGTATGACGCCAGGAAAAGAGGAAATCGCTCCAGCGTCGAGAATTCTGCAGGTGGGGTCAGGCTTTGCTGCGCAGCCTGCTCCTCAGAACAGTTAGGTCTAATGACGTCGAGCCCCTCGAGTCGACGTGGTCTTCAGCTGAAACTAGACAAAACTTCATGGATTTTTGGGCTCTATAGACTGTGGAACACAGAAAAGAAAAGAAACTGCGGGCTGAGCAACATGGCAGCTCAGCAGTGAAATGCACTATTGAGAAAGGCTGGCAAGGTACCACAGAGTGAGACAGACTGAGCTCTCCCGCTTCCCAACACTCTTGGGCAGCAGAGAGGACAGGGTTTGAAGCTGGACACGGCTACATGCAAACACTGACACCGTGCCGGGGAGATACGCACATGGGTGGAAGCCAGCAGGAGCAGAGGTACCACACTGAGCCAACGATCAGCAGGCAGACATTATCTCACCTGTGAGATGAGACTTGCTATTTCCCTAGCCATCCTATGTGACATCCATGCTGGGGGAGGCCGCCCCCAAATCCCTGCCCGTCCCCATTGCTAGCTTCTCTGTCAGCACGGGCTTACGGGGAAAGGAGAATCGCAGCTATGTAGTGAACACGAAACTAGGGTTTTAAATTTGACATGAGATTTTCTAATTACTAAACACTCAAGTGTTAAGAAAACTCGACCACAGTAAAATGACATTAGATTAGAAAGGGCTATTCCTCAGAGCAGGAAACATGACTGGAAGAAATAGTAAAACACTGTGACTCTCAGTTCACTAAACTCAGACTGAGTCCTGGATACATAAACCAGTAACTGACCACTGTCTTCTGATTTCCACATTTCCTTTTTGAAATACTGGTTAGCACTGCGGTTGTATAACGAGGTGTCCAAGGCCCATTATCTCTAATGCATCATTTCCTGGTCCTACTCAGGCTTGTAGCTTTATTGGGTCTATGTTAGTATCAGAACACAGAACACGATATCCC